TAACTTTATAATGGAAAACACATATTTCTCAAATTTTACACTGCTATATTCACAGTATTTTTTTGTAATAAATCTTGTTGGTTTATGAACTTAAGGCCTCCTTTTCAGTTCTGCTATTTTGTGTTACTTTAGGTTGTCTCTATTGCATTAGTCAATAAGCCAGATTTTGGTTTTGTCATTTTTTTTTTTTTAATAAACACATTTATGCTATGACCTTCCTTAATTACTACTTAGACAACCTTTCGAGTATTGGTATGTTTCTTTTTCCCAAGAATTATTCATAAGTATGTTTAACTTCATTAAAGGAGTATTGATGTTCAATTGTCTACAGATGATCGGTTTCTGCAGGTATTTCCAGTGTATTTGGTAAATTGTTAATTATGCTATTAAGATCCTCTTTCAGCTTTATCTGTCACTTGATTTAAAGCAGCTTAAAATCTCCAGCTAGATTCCCACCTTGTAGTTCTCCCAATTATTTCTGCACATATTTTGAAGTTCCATGTGTGAACAACCAAGTCATTTCCCTCTTTCGGTAAAAGTTCGCCAAGTTCACCAGACCCTGCGCCAAGTCACTCCATGAAATACAAGGAACACCAAAATACAATGAACATTTTATTTAAAAAAAAAAACAAAAAAAAAAACCTACCTCACCTAACACTTGGTAAAAGGTCACCAAGTGTTTATGACAAAGGAAATAAATGCCCTGGGATTAGAAAGACAAGAATAAAAATGACCTTTAGTTCTCAGGAACCAGTGTTCAAGAACTCTGATTCAAAACCCTCAGAAATGAGGCAGAGATGACAGATGAAATGTTTCAACCTGTTTTTAAAAAATGCCATCAGAGGAAAAGATAGGGCAGCACAGAGAACAGCACTGCCTATCTGAAGAGAAGACGGAGACCACTCTCACCAAAATTTACCACGTTTTTTGTTGGAAGGGGACTGGACATTAAAGAGAACTAAAAACAGGGACTAAGAAAGCATTACATTAAATAATTCTTCCCTTAAAAGTGGCCTGACCACAGGACTGAATCTGTAAACACAGGGTCATTTTTTTTTCCCCTGTGGTAATTTAAAAAGTCAGTTAAATCTCAAAAGACATTTTTCACTGTTCGAAATGACAGGATTTTAAACATTTTTTTTGTATATAATACAGCAACTTAAAATTTTATTTATTTATTATTATTTTTTTTAAAGACGACCGGTAAGGGGATCTTAACCCTTGACTTGGTGTTGTCAGCACCAC